TTTTAACTTGGTTGCAGATTTTCTCTTCTTCAGAAAATAATTCAATGTTTCTTGAGCCTCGTGCGTGTCCATAAAAGTTTTCCAACACGGGATATAGAGAGATGTTGGGTTCACCTTAAATTGTTTCATTGCAGCAAAAAATAAATTTCGATAGCGTTTCAATTGAAAAAAAATCTCATACGCAAAATATATTTTGAAAATAGTTCCAGCATTTTTTTTCTTCTTCTTCAGCAAATGATTCAATTTTTCACCACACTCGTGCGTGTGTCCCGAAAATTGTCCCATACCCACAGAAATCTAGGGTATAATTCGTTTTTTTTTTTTCATTTTACCCCCGCCCTGATGATAATCTGATTTCCGCGAACACGTGTTTCCCATATTCACAGGCATCTTATTTCGTATTCTACCTGACGTCGCCGAAGAAAGTTTTTGTAAATTTTATTTTCTCCACCCCCCCCCCCCCCCCCCCCCCCCCTCCCCCGCCCCAGCCATCTCTCTCTCCCTCTCTCGTTTCCGGTCTTGATCTTTTTTTTTTTTTTTCCCCCCCCCCCCCCCCCCCCTCCCCGCTATTGTGATGCCACAAGAGATCCCCACGCAAGACTACCATGTCAGGTCGGCATAGGTTAAGTTGACACCCTCTCTCCTTTACGCAAGTACACGATAGGGAAGGTGGTTAAAAAGCTACTGCGTAATATTTCTCTCCCTCTCTCTCTCTTTTTCATTCTCCTCCTCCTCCTCCTCCTCCTCCTGTCCGACCCCCGCGACGACGTCGACATCACATGGGAGGCCTCGACAGCGTATCGACGGCATCGCCTCCCTGGACTCTTGAGTCCCCGATACTCTTCCCACATTGCGACATAAACTGGTAGAGTTGAATGCAGAGAAGAAGAAGAGGGGGAATAAGCAAGATAAGGAGGTGATCTTTTATGAATGAAGCTAATTTTCGAAAGGAGGGAAATGAGGACATTTTGAGGGGTTTTCTTGATCCCCTGGGATTTTTTTTCTCCCCCTTCTAAGGTCATGGTGTCCTTAGAATTGGATTGAGAACTTTCAAGCATTGGGTGACGGGGGTCGTGGTTTCTTTGGGATGAATCGGGGACTTTCATGCATTATATGTCGAGGTCATGATGTCTGTTATGTGCAGTGAGGGGCTTTTTAAACTTTTTTTTTTAGCATAACTTGTCAGGGTCATGGTGTTTTATCTGCATTTGCGGAGTTTATTGAAAGACTGCAGCAGGAAGAAGCAACTTCAAAAGAACGAAAAAAGAACTCCACGGAGGACCAGGGTCAAAGGAAACTATGGAGGGTGCTTTAAATGTAATTTCTGTGGCTTCACTGTTTTCCATGCCATTTGGTATAACCTAATTCAAATCCAACCTATTTTTGATTTGAACTCAAGTGAGGGACCCACGAAATCTCGACTGGGGGGAGTTTTTGGGTTTGGGAGAATCAGCTCTTATTTTTTGTTTTATTTTTTTTGCTGACGGAAAATTGAGAATTTTTGGAAGGTGGAATTCGAGAAATTTCTGGGCCTTGAATTTCTGCATGAATTGACGGGATGCTGAACTTGAATTCAAGTTTACATTTGCCGAATTAGTCACTCGCTTCATTTAAAAATTAATCCGGTTATTTTCTGTTTCTCTTCTCTTTCGTGGGTCCTCAGAATCATCGCCCCGAGGCCAATCACATTTTGAATTATAGAGTTTTCAATGAAAAGGGGGGGGGGGCAGTCTTTGAATGAGGAAGGTTCGTATACAGTATTACATCTTTCACAAGGAAATTCATTCAGGGACGGAACACAAATTTTAAACATGGAGATTTTTTTCAAACGTATTGAGGTCGAGCTGCAATTCAATGCGCTGTTTCTCAATGGTGCTGGTGAAAAAGGATCTTGTATACCGTAAAGAAGGCTCATTTTGAAAGCAAGAAATATTTTGGTTTTTTTTCCCTCCTTGGAGAGGATTTGAGTCACTATCGTCACTTGGGGTTCTTTTTGCTGAAGATGCGACACTTCACATGTCGGGGTCTTTACGCTGTGGAGACTTTTTTTTAGCATGCGTAAGCAGCTGCAGGATTTTCCCCCATTTTATTTAATTTTTTTGCTCCACTTGAATTCAAGTGTTGAAGAGTAAAGGCAGAGGTTTACGATGTTTAAACCAGGCCGTGTTATACATATATGATTCTCAAAGAGAGAGAAAAAAACGTTTTAAAAAATGTCTTGGGCGGAGGTCTCCTGGGTTTGCTCTTTCATCATTTCCGGGGTTCGGGGTTCTGTGTCATTCAGTGATGCGACACTTCACATGTCCGGGGGTCATGGTATCCCATGCAGTTGGGAATTTCACGCTTGCGTGAACAGCTGCAGAATTTTTCCGTCGCTCCTTTTTTTTTTTCAAGGCATATTCTTAAAGGGTTACGCATGTATTCGAATGGGATTCGATGTCACGAATATTTTTTTCTATGATAAGATTTGTGTACTGTACGTATGAAACAAATCCGATTCAAAATTAATTGAACATTTATGTGAGTCTAAATGCAATGAAGAATTTTTCTGTACGTTAAAAGTGTAGTAATTTTTCGTTGAAACCCTGGTCCAACATTTTCTGGGCCCGACTGTGCTGAAAAAATATATACATCTAGACCTTGGCCCAAGACTTCCGCTTCGCTTTGCGGACAGGGAAGGAAGCGACGCTAACTGTCGTCATGTCTGTCGCTGTCCCACGGAATCGCGAAGGAATTTCATTGTCTGGGAAACTGGCATGTTTGCCCTCTGTCTCTCATTTTTTTCAAGTTTTCTCTTCTTTTTTCATCTTTTGGATTCCTACGAAAGTCGCGAGTATTTTTTATATTTCTATTTTCAGAAATGGTTCATACTTTTTTAAAATTTGTATTTGTGAGGACATGAAAAAAATGATGGTTTGGTGGCATAGCAAACGTGTCCTCCGTCTTGAAGACTCGGAGTTCTATACATTTTTATTTAAAAAGTTCGCGAATAAATAGGAATCTGCGGAAAATTTCTGTTTTTGCGTCGTACGTTTTCTTTACTTGATCCAGAAATGGAATTTGGTGTTGAAATGTAAGACATTCGCTGTTAATAATATTGATTTTGTCTTATGCAGGTATTCTTTATTTTGCCCTGTAGAATTTGAAATTTTTTTTACATTTTGAATCTATAAAGAGAAAGACTTTTGATCTTTTAATTGATATTATTATACATAAAAATATAAATGTAAAAATAATTAGACATATTGCCGCTTAAAAAAAAAGTAAAATTATTTATTTTTGAAAAAAATAATTGCTAATAAAAAAACAGTAAAGAAAAACGAAAAAAATGCCGCCAAGTTTATTAAATTTGTATTTAAAATATTTAAATGCTTTTTTATAAATAATTTAGGGCTAAAAACGATAGCATGCAGACAACCTTCTGAAATAAAATTGTTGACTTCTTCAACTCCAATTGCGCATGACATTTTTTTTTCAAGCCGGATCTGAAATTTACTCGACGAAATCGAATACTTTTATAGCTAATTCCCGTAAAAATAGAATTTCCACGCGAGTGTGTAAAAAATTGCTTTCGCAAAGTTAGCATTTTAGAAAGAGCAGCATATATTGAAAAAAGGGGAAGAGGTTTGAGGGATACATTTCTTGGATAGCCCATGTTGTTGCACAGTATATTGTATTCATCGTTGTATCGAAATTGTTGGCGTTTTTATTGGCTGTATCGCATTTTGATGCTCGCATTTGTGGATAGGAATTATTGTTAATGCCCACTTTTCGATGCGTCTGCGAGGGATTTGATTTATGAGGTCGATTTGCGCTGGGAAGATTTTTGGGAGCGTTCACATTTTCAGACCACCGGGCTGACCGAACCGAATCTTCCTTTTAACTTGTCGGATTTTTTTTTTTGGTGTGCCCTGGATATATTCCATCAGCGCTATAAATTAATCGAAGAATACCCAAGGCACGACGTTGGTGGTTGGACTCGTTTTTATTTTATATTTTTTATTCGGTTATTCGTGACTTTGTTCCGATGTATTTTTGTGACGCGGATTCGTTCTTCAAGGCTTTCTCTTGTCTTTGAATCATCTTCAACGTTAGAAGTTTAAAATTTAAATTTAATTTGAAAGTGAACACTTGCCACGTCGAAAAATTAATGCTCAATCAATTAGTTATGTTTTGACTCAGAATAAATGCCCCTCCTCGTTTGGTAAACTGAAAGGAAATTGCAAGCATGTATGCAAATTTAAATACCGAAATGCTTCTCCCAGCTGTTTTTTTTAAATCTGTGAATTGTCGTGATAATCATCATTTCCTAGCGTAAGAATGAATAAATAAGTCAGTTTTATACATAAAATTTAAAAAAAACTTCGAATTGAGTCTGAGTTCAGATTTTATACCTTCGAAGATACTCTATAATACAGTGTTACAAATTTTTTTGGCATACTTCGAAGAAAGGTATTTTTAGAAAGGGAGAAATTATAATATAAGAGGCGTAAGCTGCAACGTTTGCAAAATTACTATGAGTCGTTTCGAAATTCAGCGCATTTATATTGTAATCATCTGATATATTTTTAAAATAGGGATCGAAAATTGTTCACTGTTTATTCGGAATATCATTCAAAATCATCGCATTTTTGCCCGATTTTAATAAGTCATCCGTAGCAAGAAAAGCAATTCAAAAACATGAAAAATTATGTTCATGCACGAGAATACAATGCCTTAAGCTGGCAACTATTTTTTTCTCCATGGCATAGCTTTGTTGTTTTCAGAAATAATTTTTTACTGCACGCTTTAATCGAGAAACAGGTTCCTTGATTAGAATTCGAAATCTGCAAGAGCCTGAGGACGTTTTGCGAAAGAAAAAGAAAAATCTGTTGTTGTTTGCGAGACGTTCGGTGTCCTTAATTTATTGTACCACTGGCTAAATGCGGTTACGAATGTCGCTGCGGGTCATGATAGCTCAGCGTTCACGAATAAGATTTCCATTTTTTTTTTCAATCTTCAACAGATGGCGTTGGTAGACGAGTCAGTAGACGACGCTCGAGGGCAGCAGCGACTGGCGGCGGAACTGCCGGCGGCGCCGCCGAAAAAGCCCAAGGTGGAACAGCCGGACGAGGCCGAAGAGCGGAACAGCGGCAGCAGCAGGTGCTGTTCCCCCGTCACTTTCCAGCGCGTCTCAACATCCTCGGCGTCCCTGGATCGGGTGCGACGAGGAGCAGGAGGGGACTACATTCCCTTCACCAGCGCCAACAGCGGCGGCGGGGGCGGTGGCGGAGTTGGATTGCCGCCGCCGCCGGCAGCCCATTCTCACCACGTCCCGATGCCGCACCCGGGCTGTGATCCCGGCTGGCTGTACATGATGTGCCAGTATGCCGCAGCGGCGGCGTGCGCTGGGCTTCCGGCGCCGCCACCACCGCCGCCGCCTCCGCCTCCGCAACCCACAGCCATGTTCGTGCCTCCGCCGTTCTTGGTCCCGGGCAAGCCGGACACCAAGTTTTTCCCGCCGTTCCCGCATTCTGCCGCTGCTTCAGCTTATGCGTAGGTGTCGCTCGCTTCAATGTCGAGACACGAAAAATTTCTCGTACAGTTCAGTCGAACCTCTCTCGGCTGAATTTCAAGTGACCATCTGAAAAAAAAATCGAGTTGGATAGATTTCGACTTTGGAATTAGGGAAATGAGAATTTTTTTGTTTCCGGAAAAATAGACAAATTTCAGGAATTGTAAATGACGATATTCTGGGCATTAAGTTGCCTATTTTTTAAATGAGTTGACAGGATGTTTAACTTGGAGGCCAGGGCTCATTAGCCCAATGAGTTTTTATTTCCTTTCGAAGCACCTCAAGGTAATTTATCATTGCTTTTCTCTTTCCTGTGGCAAGAAAATAATAGCCCGAAGGCCTGTGAAAATTTGCGAGGAAAAGCTGTCGAGTTATAGATGTTTTTAATGCATTTGTTTTAAATGAATTAAGATAGAGACTTAAAAATCATCGAATTATGGAGATTTGAGTTATCGAGGTTCGACTGTATCAGTTGGGCCCCGAGATGCGGACGTAATTGGCGTTTCGCGTTTGTCCCTATGTCGGAGCGTCCGCATTTTGTATCACGTTTTCCCATAGACTCCGATGGGAACTTTTACAAGTGATTCTCCAATTTATCAATAAATGCGTATAAATCCCCAAAAATTGAATAAAATGTTTTCCTCAACTTACAGAAAGTAACTGCGCAGAAGGAAATGCACAAAATCTGATCTTTTTGTATTAAAAGGTACACAAAGGGCAAAGAGTAAGATCAATTCTTGCTGTACTGTGCACAGATGATGAAAAATACAGGTTGCAGTACTCTGAAAAAAAAGGAGCAAAAAATAGCCTGTTTGACGAGGAATTTGAGCGAATTTATTATAAAATTCATTTTCAATTTTTGTAAATTCTGTATAAAATATAGTGCGATTTGTTCAAGAGGTATCCGTTTTTGGCAAATCCTTCTTTGAAAAATATTGGTAGAGTGTCCGTATCTCGAGAAATTTTTCGGATTTAGCGATCTATATATTTTTTATTTATTTTTTAGTTTCAAGTCTCCATGTCGAATTGTCCGTTTGTCGGGATCCCACTGTAGTTTTTCTCTCTCTCTCTGTCTGTTGCTCTCTTAGGTTCCCTGCATCAAGTGGCGCCTTTGCATACCCCGGTGCTCATTATTACCCCCACCACCACCAGCACCACACCGGCGCCGGTGGCGGTGGCTCTGCAACGAGTCCGGGACCGCCGGTCTTGTTGAACCCGGAACGAGTCGTCCCGTCGTCCAGCGACGCCGACCGCTTTCCGCCGCACTTCCAGCCCAACGTTTCCCTGGCGCCGCTGCCGCCGTCGGACTCCGCCGCCTCGGCATCGTATTCCCAGTTCCGGCGGTCGAGACTCATGTCCGCCAGTCGTCCAGCCTCGCCGCCGGAATACGAGAAAGTGGGTTCATTGTTCTTTCTCGGCTTTTTTTGTTGTTTTGTTCTACAGTGGAAATATTTCTATTAAACGAGTCCCATTTTATAATTCAGTGATAGATCACGAAAGAGCATGTTCTGGGGGAGTAAGAAAGTGTCCCGCGATTTGGCTGCCAATTTAAATGGATAATTAAATTTAATTACTGTATTTAAAGAAAATTACGTTTTGGGAAGACAATACCGTCGACAGCTTCCTTTTCTGTGCGGATTTTTTCACGTGGATTTTTTCAAATAATTTATTGACGAAAGAAAATTCGTCTCAAAAAGTATTCTTGGGTAGCTGTGGAAGGAATTTTTTGCGTTTTAATATGGTTTTCAGCCCCAAAGTGACAAAGGAAAACCTGCTTTGAAAGTGTTTGTTAAGATACTGTATATGCCTTTTTCCCCAAATGATTTCATTGAATTTTAATTTCCGTTTATCTTTAGTAAAATTTAGGATTTTGAGATATCTATTGTTCTATTCTTCCCGAAAATGAATTTTTTAAATGTTTTTTCAAAAATACTACAAAAAAAATCTAGTACGCATTCTTTACTTGATGCTTCTTAATTCTGACTTTCTCACTACACTAATTTACTGAATGAATGAACAGAACACTTTATTTGCTGCTTTTCAGCGTTCACAAGGTTCAATCAAGATTTCCACAACCAAACCCCCTTCCCACTCAACCCAAATCCACTCAATGACACTTAATCACTTCAGAGCAGGAAACAGCAGAAATTGATAACAAAAATACCATCCACAAAATACAACTCGACATCTGACATGTATGCATACACCCATTCATTCCCTGACATGGGAAACAAAATATATGTAAAAATGAATTTACAGCACAAGGTCTTCAGCTTGTTTCTGTATGAGGTTCAGTTGAATGAACAAATTAGAGAGAATCTTTGATGAGAAATAATATAAGGCCAACAGTTTATCTTGATCCTTCAAGATTTCAGAAAGGGTCTCTTCATTGAATTCCAATACTTGTAAATCTTTCTTAAGCTTGTTTCTATCAGTATGAAATGCTGGACATATGAAGAGAAGGTGCTCTGGTGCTGCACAAACTAATGCATTTTGTTATTAATTTACCGAGAACTACTTTTAAGCTCTCAATGGCCGTCTTTTTTTTCAATTCATCCTTATTTCCCTGAATGTCTTCTGTGCAACCTATAATCAACAATTTTGATTGTAGAATGCACAAAGTTTCTCCCAAACAGGCACTTGGAATTCACAGTGTTGAGTTTTTTTGTTTGCCCGTGACTTCTTTGAAATTTTTGTTGCATATTTCTCCGCATATCTTAAAATGGCATTTTCATGATTTTTTTTTTAAAAGCTCATGTTTACGTTTGGAAAGTTTCATGAACCACCTGACATGGTGCCGGAGTATAACCAGCAGTGGTTGAAGGCGTGTCCCTGACAGCTCGTCGAAAATTAAATTTTTTCAAATTTTAAACAAAATTTTGCAGGTGAGTTCACCGGGACTGCTGGTGAAACGGGAACCCTTGGAAGAGGGTTGTCTGGAGGAGCGAATCCGATCCACACTGGGCATGATGCCGTCGTCGCAAGCAGATGCAGTGGTGAACAAGTTTTTGCGGTTGGCGGAAGAAGTCCGAGCTGATGCGATGGCTGATGCGATTCGGGCAGAAGCCGAAGCCCGGGAAAAGGTCGGTTTTTTATTCCATTTTTCGGGGCTTGGGTTCTCGTTCCATTTCAACCGGGGATTCCAGTTTCCTGGCTGAATGTCGAGAGATCACGTTTTCCCATGCATGGACTGCAAAGGGAACTTATTCAATCGTTTCTCGAATTTATACAAAAAAATTACGAAAAAAATCCCCCAGAAATTGAATAACATTTTTAACCGACTTCAAAATGAAGGAAATAATTGCACAGAAGAAAAAACGCGAAGTGTGATCTTCTGGTGTAAAAAAAAAAGAGAGAGAATAAGAAAAAATCAGGCTATTGTGGGCATTAGACACAGATGACGGTTTATTCCATTGATTTATTTCGTTTCAATCGCTGCAGAAGTGGCAGTGAAACATTATTCTAGATTAATTATTACAGTATTGTATTCTGTATACCTTGGTCGTGACGTATTATTTGTACGCAACACTATTACTTTTTATTACCGTATGATTTTTATTTTTTGGTAATATTTTTTTTACCGTATAATTTTATATTACTGTGGCATTTTATTTTCGTATATTTATTTTCCATTATTTTTTCTCGTATAATTTTAACGGCCCTGTTATTGTTTTTTGTAAATTATTAGTACAGCATTTTCATATTACTGTAGTACATTATTTGCATATTACTGTAGTACAGTATTTTCATAATGACTCATCCATTACAATATTCCTGTATTGCCGTATTATTTCAAATTATCGATATTTTCATTTTTGCATGACTCTTACTGTAATGATTTTCATAATTATTTCGTGTTATTTGCAGGATGTCGCAGAGTTGCGGAGACAGTTGTCAAGTCAGCAGGAAATGCTGACGGAGCTTCGGGAGCGCAATTTGAAATTGGAGGCTGAATTGGCTGCGTCGCGGGGCGGTCATTTTGCAGAGGTTTGACAACTGCTCTCTGCTTATTCTGTTTATTTTATTTTTCAAGCTTTGCTCATCAGGAGGAAACTACTTTTTTGCTTAAAACAGATTCGCATTAAGAAAAAGCAAAAAAACAAAACTTTTTAAATAATCGCGTGATACTTTGATTGGAGTTCAAACTTTTCGAGCTGAGCGTCGATTTTTTAAAACATTTTTATTTCTCTTGTAACAACGAATGTTACGGAAAAGCGATTCGTGTCAATCGCTCATTAAACGGGGAGTGGGGACATACATTTTGTCTTAAATTGATCTTAATGGTTCAAAGATCGAAGAACTTGAGCTTAAAATAATATTGTACAGTATCATTATTTCATGGGTTTTTTTTTTCGACGTTTGACGCATTTACTGTACAACAGTCCATTTATTCCGCGTGCTCTTTTTTATTGTTGAATATCGGATTTTTCTGAATTTTATTTGCATAATTTTTATCTTTCTTGATTTCTTTTAAAACGGAGGACGTCGAAAAAAGAGAAACTCGTTTCTATAACTCCTTGAATGTAGACATAAATGCGTCTCAAAAATTATTTTGCTGGTTGACATATCCGAGGATTCAAGTCTGAAACTCATGTTCATGCAATGTGATTTTATTCGATCTTTCTGTTTGAGTATCTGATTTTCCGAAATTCGAATTGAAATTACCATTTTCTGAATTTCTCTCGAAACAGTGGATGTCAAAAAAAAAATAACTCGTGTCCACTGCTCATTTAATGGGAACAAACATCAGTTTCGAATTCATCTTGATGATTTACATATTTTAGATTCCAAACCTAAAATTTGATCTTCTTTGGATAGTATTTTATCGTTCCTTCGCTCCTTACAACATTACGTGTCGCCCGAGAGAAAAAAAAAAATAATAATGAACCTTTCGAATATTCGCGGGATTCTTTTCGATTGTGAATGAATCGAATTTTCAGAATTCCAGCTGAATAATACGTTTGCGTTTTGATTCACCTCAAAAACAGCGGATGGGAACAAAAAGCAAATCGCCGCTTTTGAACGGTACGAAGTCAACTTCCCCGCGGTCGTGTTCATCGCTTTCTTCCTCATCCTCTTCTTCTTCTCCGCCGGCCGCCGCCGACGTGAAGCCGCCTAATCTGCTCATAATTGCAGCGGACACCAATTGAAAGACGTCCCTCGTCATCGTCCCAACACTCAAAAAGCATCTGACGACCCCCTAGGAAAACTGACGACCTGGGATCCTATTTTTTTCTTTTTTTCCTCTGTTTCGTTAGTTTGTTTTTTTGCCAACTTCGCTTTGATGAAAGTTGAGAGAAGCAACTTCGCTCACATGTTTCCGTGGGGTTTGTTGTTTTCTCTGCTACTGGTACTTTTTTTTTTTTTTTACGCGTGCGTTTGCGCCTTTCTCGAGTGCATGTGTTCTTGATGCTGTTCTGGCTTCTACACGCTGCGATTTTCTTTTATTTTAAAATATTAAACTTTCAGCTTCTGATCCCGCTTTTTTCAAAGCTTTAAAACAATGTATTGGTTGGATAGGAATCTATAGGAACTTCCGGGTTGCGATTTATTTATCCGCCGAAGAGCCGTCAAGATTACCTCATGAGCTTTGGATTAGATTTTATCGCTCTCAAAGCTTTAAACGGATCAAACCCGGTTCAATTTTCTTTGTACTGTAGTTCTGACATGAAAAATTTTTTTGCATTTTTAAAGCTTGAAGATTATGAAGAAATTTTCAATGGTTGAAGGGAATTCTGTTGAAACATCCTCATTAGCGATTTATCCATTCGCCGATGTTGAATGTTTAAAATTATTTAATTACCTTTAGACTACAGTTTTTTGTTTTCAAGTTTTAAAATATTGTGAAAGTCATTCAATTTTCTTCGTTGTTATAAAATAAGATTTTTATCCGTCACGGTAAAAATTTAAGGTTTCTTTGAAATTCAGGATGAATTTTAGCATCTTGTACACCAAGGATATCTTGAAGGTTCCTTTGGTTAAAAAATAAACCTGGAAAGCTTTTCTAGCTGGAACGTTTTTGTATCAGTGAAAATATGTAGCGTGTATTGGCCAGAATCGCCTCTTCTATTTTTCAAATCGTTCTCCTTCCGCACAATATTTGGAGAACTCAATTCCTTGCTCGCTTTTTGCTAGCTTGAAGGACGCAGATCTGATGGGTTGATACGGTTTTTAAAAAATTCTAAACCTCTGTTTTATTTTAGGCTTTCCTGGGTTATTTTTTCCGCTTGTCAATTATGAAATCACACGGAAGAGGCAGTAATTTACCTACTGTTCTTTTCGTGTGACCTGAAAATTCGCGAAAAAAGGTACACGCATTCACTCGAATACAAGAGGTTTTTTTTTTATTTTCGTGCCTCGCAAATTAAAATTTATTTTTTATTAGAATGTAAATCGCACTTGGACTGCATTCATTCTTTTTTTCTAAAGAATCATGATCATGAAAATCAGTTGTTCCAATTTGTGCTGAAGTTACCAGTTACATCTTCTCGTTTACTTCCAACGAAAATCGGGATTCATTGCGTTGACTTGTTTGTTTTTGAATTTAAAATGGTGGTCATTATTTTAATTATTGATGACGTCATGAAATTCAAGATGCCGTCAAGTATTGGACGCTTTCTGACTTTTTCAGCCAATTTTTTTTTGTTGAGACAAAAAGAAAAGCTTCTGGAATTAGCACCCTGGCTTTCCCAGCCAATTTTTGCGAATGAAACTGCATCTTGTGTTCGAGTGAATACGGTTAGCTATTTTTTTTTCTTCGTCGCCTACCTCGGGAAAAAAAAAATTAATCGCGGTACCTGAGGTAAAATGCGCTGCAGCGGAATTGAGAAATCTTTTGGGAACGCGGATTTTTATTTAATTTTTTCTTCTTAAACTCGAATCTTTCCTCGCGATTTTGAAAAATGTTATGTTGATCATTCTTCCTCGTCTCTTTGCATTTTATATAGTGAGACTTCGTTCTTTGAAAGCTTTTTATCCGCCGAGCTGCCAATGTGTCACAGGTGCTATTTCGGTGCAGACACGGAACGAGTCTTGAAGCACTCGCTGCAAAAAAAAAAAAAAAAAAACTCGGTTTAATTTATGCAATTTGAAACAGTGTTGTACTTGGGGGGTAGGGGAGGAAACGGAGAAGAGTGCTACAAGTCGGCGCGAGGAATCGGGAGAACCACTTGAGGGCAAAAAGCCACTTCATTTTTCGCGATATTCTTGGAATAATCATGAATTATTGATCGAAATCATTCGTCCTAATAAAAGACACCATTTAAGTAAGATGCTTAATTAAAATATCGAGTCTACACGGTCTTGAAGACTAACGTGAAGAACGAGAGATGAAAAATCTGTCGAGCTTAAAATTCCTCTTTTAATCTGATTTTTCGTGAGACCGGTTTAATTGGACGAAAAAAAAAAATGTAGCATCATGAACAAACGAATCTTTTTTATTCTAAAGGATCACGACATGAGTGATGAAAATTCTCAAAATTTTTTGCACTAAATTACTCAAAGGAACGGAAAGATTGTTTCTTGATACTGTATTTTACTCCTTTTGCGTGCTGGTCCTCATTTTCAACTATTTGTTGAATAATAAATTCTTGCTCACTCGCAGGTGTAAATTTAGTTCTCCTTGAGCAATTTTCAGATCGATAATCTTTCGCAATTGTCAACAAATTTCGCGAAAATTGCTTCGATTGGTTCCCTGTGTTCCTCGTGCACGCGTTCTGTACGGGTTTCTGTGGCGAAGAAAGTGGTTCTGAAGATGTTCGGCCGGAATTGGCTGTCAAGAAATTCTCACATTTTTTTATCAGTTACATGCAAAGAAAGAGAGAAACAGATACATACCTCACTTCCGGAATGGTTGAGCCATTTTTCCGTTTGATTCAAATCAATATTATTTCGAAATCTGTAAAAGCGGGCGAAAAAGAAACGCTTGACAGGAATCGGTTACGTTTTGTTCCTGTTTTTTTTTCGGTGACAATTTTGAATTTCGAGGGGAAGGGAAAAATGTGAGATTTTTTTTATATACCGCCGGTTTTTTGTCCTACAGAGGAAAAATGACATGAAACTTTTTTTTTTACGCAACAAAGTATTCCCCTTTTGGAAGGCATCCGGTGCGACTAAAAAGAAGAAGCTGTTTTTTTTGTTGATTTGGCAAACGTGAACCGCGCGGCTTGTGACATTACTTGTCAAAAAGAGTTCCAGCGGATTTGTTCTCTCTAATTTTTGTTTACAAATTCTTGCGAACCGGTGGGGAAAAGAAAAGTCGAGTTGTGGGAAAAGATGTAGAGCGGGGGAGGGAAAAATAATTTCCTTCCAGCCGCTTTTATGTTTTCCGCTCCTTTTTTTTTTTTTTTACTTTATAACCCATTCAGGCATGAGTAATTTTTGTCCTTGTTCTGCGCGGCCCAAAAAAAAGAATAAGGAAACCCACCAGTACGCCATAAGCAGAGCAAGTGTGAAACTTCTCGCGACCGGTGAAGAAAGCCCTGATGTCATTAATTTCTACTCGTTGGATTATTGTTTCTTTTTTTTGTCGGATTTCAGCGAAGGGTCATTCCGAAAGTTGGGGAAACATTTTCTTCCACGGCGATTGCGATCTGTTCCTACGAGAAAAGAAAAAAGATGTCAGTGTTCTCAGTATACACAAAAAAAGAATGAAATACTCGATGCTTACTTGTATCAGTTTCAGTCGAATCTGTCGACCACAAGATTATATTTGTCAGCCGTCCATTCAGATCGCCGCGGGGGAATGACATGTTTGTTTTGTAACTTTGGGGAAAACCCTTCGTGTGGTATACGATCTTTTTTTTTTGTGCACTCGATGATGATGATGATGATGATGAGGAGAGTGGGATGTCCATTTCAGTTGGGCATTACTCATCCTGCACTGTGTATTCAGCATTTTTTTTTTTTGTTGTTGAGGGATTTCGAGACACGATTCGAACTGATGGTTACCAGGACTGAGCGAGAGAAAGAGGGTGAAGTTGAGTGCTCTTTGTTTTTCAACGCATCCACGCGCCTTGTTGGCTGCTGCCTTGTGCCCTGATTTTCAGCCGACTTTTTTGTCCCCGGTAAAAAAGAAAAAAAGCTAGCTGGGAAACAAACGATGGAATTTGCTGAGGATTCGGGACAATAAAATTTGGACTTCGAAACTCTATTTGCGTGTCTATTTATGCGTCACATATGGTGCTTGGTCAAGTGATTGCCAAGACGAGTAGACCAACTGAGCGCCATGCTGGGACAGCTGATTTACAAATATACTGTAATGTACTGTTGAACCTCAATAACTGGAACCTCCCTAAGTCGATTTTTTTTTTCAAGTTCCCATCTGGATTCTCTTGGAAACCATGCATGAAAATTCTCTCTTAACAGGAAAACTATTCCTCTCAAACCTCCTTAACTCAAATTTTCTGAGGCATTTTGACTATTATCTTCTTGACACAGGAAAAATAAGAGCAATAAAAGGTCACTTGATGTGTTTTGAAAGGAAGTGAAACACTGGGGAAAAAATTGCACCTGGCTCAATAACAGGGTTATTCTGGCCTGTATAAAAGGTCTGTGCATTATGCACAGAAAAGCAGTCTTCACCTGATCAAGTCTTTAGTCTTCTCCTTATCTAGTCTCAAGTCTTCTTCTTATCAAGTCTTTAGTCTTCTCCTTATCAAGTCTCAAGTCTTCTTCTTATCAAGTCTTTAGTCTTCTTCTTATCAAGTCTTCTCCTTATCAAGTCTTTATCCAGTCTTCAGCTGAAACGTCAGTCTTACTCTGGTATTTACTGTGTTCTTGAATCAATCTATCTATCCTGCAGTGTTGCTGTTAGTCCAGTCTCAGTGTGGATACTTGTCTGGTTCCTGCAGTCTGTTTGGTGATCTCTTGTGATGCTGATGGGAGTCCATGGGTCTCCAGACAACTTTGTTCATTTTATTTTTATTGACGTCTTCCGGTTGAATTATAAGATAGTTTCAAGAAAAATACTTCAGAAAGGTGAACAAATTCTAGAATTCCTTCAGAAATAATTTTTGGCAGTAGTCATAAATTTTGCCAAAAAAAAGACTGTTTAGAATGAATGTGATTCATTGTTTTCATAGAATGCGTTTTTACTAGAATGAATACAAATTGTCTGAATAAGTCAGAAACGGATTTATGGCTATGAACGAAAGTAAGCTGAAATGAAAATTGATAACGCACACCGGCATGTGGCAAGGATTGCTATCAGTTGCATTCACTGAAATGATAGAAAACCTAGTTATTGAAGCCTTTATCTTTTCCTCAATGAGAAAAGGTGAGTTAGCACTTTGAAAAGAAAACAGACGGTTCACTTCTGTCATTCGTATATAATAGATACATGGAAAACAGTGATTTGAATTTTCTTCAGAAGGTGAACCGCCATATTTTGACGTGTGACCTATGTACCGGCCCTTGTTTAAACAAAATTTATGGTGTCTTAATTTTAAAGCTATTCAATAAAATGCGTATTACAGTACCTTAAGATGCTTGTATTTGTTAACATCAGACAGAAAAATATAAGCAAAATGAAATGTAGTGATAACTGGTGAAACTTCTTTCTCTTAATAAATGGATACCAATAAAAAGTAAACAAAATCATATTGAAATCAAGATCATTATATTTCATAAAAGAGGAACTTACACTAGGTTAATGTATAGGTAATCTATAGGAGCATTAATGGTAACAATTTTAGCAACCTGTAAGTGCATAGCATTTGTTATTCCATCAATAAAATACCTGCTTCATTACTTATAACTGGTAAATAATAAATGCTGAAGCAACTTCTGCAAATATGATCTTTGAGGAAATTGACAAAAAAGAAGTAAAATTGAATTATGTTTTGAATGACAATTCCATACAGTGCAGGTTATGGATTTGCTGTGCTGAAGATGTAAGACAAATTGGCATATTCCAGGTCTATATGCCCTGGGAATGATATTCTCACATCAATGAAATGTGTCATTTGACTCATGCAAGGATTATGCTGGCTGTTCGTATCGAAATCATGCGAAAATGGAAGACATCGTTTGCTGCTCTGTTTCTTGTCTGTGGAGTTTTATTGTATGGAATAGCATATTTGTTCCTGGATTGGTCATGGCATGCAACTCCATTCATTTACTTGCCTCGGTCACACATCTGCCAAGAAGAGTATTACCTGCGATTATAAAAATAAAAATAAACTTGCAATTGATGGTCATGTATTGCATGTGTATCATATACAGGAGTTCCTCCTGCAAACCTTTGCAGCCCATGAAGTTGGATGACAACTTGGTCTTCTTCCTGGACATTGCAACATCTCCTGAGTCTGCTGTTTCCTTCAACATTCCCACAGCATGTGCCTTGGAGTCCACCTCAGTCCATAATCCTGGGAGGACCATACACTACCTAGTTTTTGGGAAGGACAAGCCTTATCTATGGCTGGACAAGCTTGGCTCTTTAGTGGCTGAGCTGGAGAATGTCAAGGTGTCCAGTTTTCTCATGGAACCTTGGCTGCTGAAGAGAGAGGCATTGGTGAAAAAGATCAACACTGAAAAAAGATCTGGTGTCTATTGGTGAGTTGATTGGCCTTTATATCCTATTAAATCAGCATTTAGGGAAATTCATTCATTGAGGAATACTCAATATGCAAAGTACAGTGAGACCCCCAGATGCGGACATAATTGGTGCATCAAGAGTGTCCCTATGTCGGATTGTCCCCAAGTCAAATCTTGCTTTCCCATAGACTTACATTGCATAATTTTTAATTGGTGTTTTATGGAAGAAACATTCTTCAGAATTTCATGAAAAAAAATTTTTGCCACTTGAATTTAATTCCATGAATATCTTTTCAAACCATTAAGAACATTTGGAACATTGAATAGTGTACCTCTGTACAATAAATTGAAAAGTTGGCATCTGGAAAAAAAACATCCATGTCACAAAGAGAGGTGGAAGGAAGTCCCTCTGTGCTATAGGGCATTTTTTTAATTAGCTGAATGGATGGGAAAATGATGGGAAAAGTACCAAAGAATTTTTCTAGCATAGATCTTAGGTTGGAAGCATCTGTTTCTTGCAATTAAACCTTAGAAAAATCAGTTTTCCTAAAATTTATTTTGGAATTTTATCCTGCAATGTCCCCAGGTTGAGTCAATGTCCTCATGTCAGGTCTTTTTTATGATTTTTTTCCTAAAAAATAAATGTCCCCAGGTCAAATCGTCCCCATGTCAAGGCGTCCGCATGTGGGGGTCTCACTGTAATTCAGAAAATTAAGCCCAACCATGTCAGATTCTAGTTGGAATTATTGTACTGTACATCCAAGCTTGTTCAATCAGTGGAATTGATCTGTATGAAATGCTCTATCCTGATGACTCCCCAAATTCAAAGTAGATGTCAATAACATTACTAAAGATTACATTGACTGTTTTCCTCATTGTTTTTCTTGAAAAATAGGGATGCACTGAAGGTGACAAACCTTATAAGAACTGCAATCTTGTTGCATTATGGAGGGATATACTTGGACTCAGACATTATAACGCTTGAGTCGCTAGATAAATTCAAGAATACAGTTGGCTGTCAAGAAGAATGGCCTTACCAATTTCTACAATCCCTCCAAAAGTGGGTTTTTGGAGACACACAGCCAACATGCTCCAGAATCAACTATGGAATTTTGAGCTTCCATAAGAACCATAGATTTGTTGAAATGTTGCTGGAAGCCTATGAAGCTATTGATCTTGACAAATGGAAGTCCATCTCCCGTGGAACTGGGAACACGCACCAAGCCTCAGTTTTGAAAACTGTATGCCAGGTGTCGCACAAGACATCACCAAATCCAGATGGCGCAACTTACCAAGGTTTCCCATCTGACTGCTTAGCTGCCATGAACATCACAGTGCTGGACAAGATGATCTTGTATCCACTTGGGCCAACTGACTCCTGGAAATATTTCAGTTCCAAATGGACTGTGGACATCCTGAAGATGGTGAAGGACTCCAAGTCCTGGCTGGTGCACTATTACTCATCTCATACAAGGAAATACCTGAATTCTGCCTTGACAGCTGCTGTTCCAACAGCATTTGAACTACTTGCTCTGGAGCATTGTCCTCAAACTTACCACGTCTGGAAGACAATGATTACTTCCCAGATGTCGTCCTAAGCAACATGAAGTGGTGGGTGACCACTGATGTGTTGCAGAATAAGGTTGGTCTCAAGCCCATCTGGTTGGACAAGTGGCACAACACATTGATCTGTTTAGCACTCATGCTTGAAAAAATTATTCCAGAAAAGTACATTGACAAACTGTCCTGAAATGTCTATTAGAAAGGAACCTTCGTCAGGCATGTTTGGATGGCTTTTGGACAACTTCCTGAGAGCCCAATTAAAAAAAAAAAGCAAATACTTATTAGACATGTTCAGCAATACGCATAAAATTTAAATTTTAATCAGGAAACCTCCTCTTCAGTTGGACCTCTGCATTTTCAAAATGTCTGTAACACAATAACTGTTGTCATGAGAAAAATAATACATTAAACAGACAAAAACTCATCAACCTTGTGAACGCTTTAAAGCGGCAAATAAAGTGATCTTTTCATTCATTCATTCATTCATTCAAGTGGTTGAACAGTGGTTCATTAAATTTCAAGTCATTTGAAGCTCAAATTTAATCAAAGTTTAAACTGATGTTCACAGCTTAAATTATTTTTCCTAATTTCAACACTTCCAAGTTATAAGCAACATAAAAAATTGCGCTGTTAGTCATGCCAAAATCTTCACAAGCTTCATTCTTCCCACAGTAAAAATGAGTAAAAAATAATGAAAATTGAAGAACAGAAAAAATGTGTCTTATTATCATGCAAAAAGAGTCTTGTGGCAACCCTGAAGTTTTAATGCTGGTAAATATGGACACTGTCTGAGAAGCTATTATACCTACATATGCGTGGTGCATTGTGCACAAAAATCTCACTAAAATGAAGACATCGGGTATTGAATAAAATGCACTTTTAACTTGCACTTTTAATTTTTTCATTTGAATAAAATGAAACCCTCCAAAAGACACTTTCTAGGGCGATTTTTCACTGGGCGTGGCTTCATCATCAATGCGTGAAACAATAATAGATTTTAAATTATTTTTTCAAACATAAAATTTATTTCTGGCTCTTCAGCACTCCTGCAACCACATAGAAACAAGTTTCAGATGCAAAATTATTTGCAGATTCAGGCTAAAACGAAAATATGATGAAAGGTTTGAAAATCCAAGTCTTTCAAAGGTCTTTCAGCAGAATTCCTCGGAAATTTCACCCCTTGCTTCTGTGCAGTTTTTAAACCTTACTCATGTTTTTCCTTACACTGTTCTGGGTGGAAAATGGCTCGTAAATTGTTGGACTTGGGCACCAGCAAGATCCCTTGCATGAACCATGATGGCAGCAATCCTCTATCCGAAATGGACCTTTTGAAAGATCTTTCTGGCTTTAATTCAGACCAAATTTCAAAAAGATACGATTCTTTCTCAAGAGTGGCAAAACATGGCGAGATGGATTCGCATGCCTTCCGAGAATTCCTCTCCCACTTTGTTGAAGGGCCATTGGCTGCAATGGGGGCACCAACACTGTTTGCGCTGGTTGATACTGACAAAAATGGCGGCATTTCCTTCAAGGAAGCCCTGTCTGGGTTATCAATGGGTGATCCAAATGCCACCATGGTGTCAAAGATGAAGAAGCTTTTGTCCTTGTGGAAAAATGTCAAGGGCTCTGAAATAGATGCTGAGCAGGTTGGGTCAAGTTAATTCCCCCTTAAAAATAGTAAATGCATTCATCATATTTTTGATTGATCTACCAGCTGTCAGGAAAAAATCCAAACTTCAGATAATTCTAACAGTTAAAAGGCGCCAGACAAAAATTAACAACTAATCTCTTGATGCATTTTTTTGTGAGCCTGAGAACCAAACCCAGGTTTGGTTCTCAGGCTCACCCAAGGACATTTTCATACTGCTAAAAAAGGGAAGAATGAAAGTGGCCAAAATCCGGCCTTCATTTCTAATCCAGAAAGTTGTTGTGGTTAACTAGAAACCACAAGTTTATCATTCTGCGTTGAACTCTCAAATCATACAGATCTCTGGAGAACTCTTGTGTGTGTCAATCATCAACCAATTCCAAAATTGGCATTCTTGTTCTTTCATACTTGTGAAATTCTTTGATTGTTCAGATCAACCTTGTCTTGAGTAATATACCACTTTACAATAGGACAATAAGTCCTGGCCACAGCCCGGCTGTTTGAACAGTGTTTCATTTCTCTCCAAATGTCTGAACCAGTTACAAATTTTGTATATTTCACTTTTTTCACCTTTTGTGTGGTAAAAGAAAATCCTCTGTTCATCTTTTCCTCACACCAGCTGTTCTTACACTTGTCAGCATTCACAAGGTTCAAAAAATGTTTCCCATCCCCCCCCCCTGTACTCAATACCATTCAAAAACATTCTGGCATATCAGAAAGTTAACATAATTCAATGTTTGGCTTTTAAAAGAAAGCATCTCAGTACATACACATGCATTAAAAATTCAAATACAGCAGTAAATAATTCAAATACATAAGTTGCCATTTTTCTTTTTTTGTGACAAGAAATCACAGAACAATTAAGGCAATTACTGAGCACATATTGATGTTCAGTACAAGGATTTTTGCCTGTTCTCTGATTATTTTTTATTGAGTACACAGTTTAGAGATAATCTCCAGGAGGCATTACAATGCAATTATAAAAATTTTCAGCTTTTAAAATATGGTATGCTTGCATCACATAACAATCATGGCATATACACTTTTCATGCACAAATATGGCTAAGCCACTATATATATAGTGGAAACTCTGCTAAAATCAAAGTTTGGCAAAGCTCACCATGCAGGTCTCCTTCAAGGAAAAGATGGTTTTTCATGAAGTCCTTGATTTTTTCAGTTTTCCATTTCTGAGCAAAAAAGATAAGTCTCTTGATTTCTTCTTGATCCAAAAAAATGTTTTTTTTTTTTTACTTCTAATTCCTCATTGGGAGTACAGAGACCTCATAATAAATAATGCAGATGGTAGACCTAAAAAGTGTTTGAACTTAAATAGATTCACCAGAGATGATACTAGCAGGAATTTTGCTAAAGCTGTACTGTCAATTACATCCAGCAGCCATATGACAAACGAGCTGCACTAAAAAGAAAAAGAAAGACTCTCCAAAACAAGCAGAAGAGACTTTCAATCTCTATGCTAATGCATTGGAACTTTAGGCAGAGCGATGATGCTTTTAGAGACGTTTCATCTTTGCCTTGAATCTTATTTTTCAGGTTACTGGGATGATGCAGAATTTGCTGAGTGTGTCTTCTGATAAAGGTACGGGATTCACAACAGAAGCCATCAAAGGCCTGGTGAACAGCACAAAGTCGGGGTCAACTGTCAATATTGGGGAACTCAGCAAGGGTCTGGATTCTCTCACCCAATTGGGCTTTTGAAAAAAAGAACACTTGATAAATGGGATAATTAAAATATGACTGAAAAGTCATTTGATTCTTTGATTTTTTTTTAATTCTGTGTGCTCACCTGAACAGTGCTTCTTTTTAAACAGGGAATGGGTAAAGTCCTTTTACAATTTCACTGAATTTTCTCAACATTTAAATCAAAATTGGTGCTTCTCAAAAGTTTGAGAAAGTTTGTGTTTATTGTCTTCAGTTTGCAAACTGTAGTACTGTACATTGATGAAAAAGGACAAATCAGCAAACTTGTATATAGTGTATCAGGTATCTGAATTACAGATTAACTCTGAAATATGAGGAATGGGTCAAAATGAGAAAACACATGTCCTTTTTTTTTTTTTTTTTGAAAATTTGTAACATCATGAACTCATTACTGATCTGGGCTCAATTTAAATAAACCTTAATAAATGATGGACCAAAACAAAAGAATGCACTTTAAAAGGTTGTGTCTGGCTTTTTTCAAGGCCTTGTGTTAAACCATCAAAATTACTCAAAATTCTTCATACTTCATGGTATGAAATGGGGTCTTGGTTAATGAATGCCCGTGCCAACAAAGACTTCATCCAGCAAACTTAACAATTGACTTGTATGCCAGCTTACAATAACTGATCCACATACCAAGCATACTGTAGATTCTTAAGAAATTGTCAAAAATACTATTGGATGCAGTATAAAAATGTTCCAATTCCATCTAATGAAAAAAATAAAGCTGAAAAACATGACCTTGAATGGGCTGCATTTTAGCAAAAATTATATAACCGTATTTACTTGAGTACCACGCGCACCATTTTCTCAAATTTCAGAAAAAAGGGGTGTGTGTCATAAGCGGGTAAAAATTTTTCAAGAAGTCTTAGGGAGTTATGTGTGCATTATACTCAATTATAATGGAGAGATTTTGAACAAATGTAACAAGAAAACTTTTTTGTACTGAAAAAGTAGAAAATTGATCCATATTTTTGTTCAATTCATGTCTAAATAAGTCAAATTTTTTGGATTTATTTTCATAATTTTGTGGTTTTAGATTCACTAAAAATTGGGGTGCACGTCTTACTTGGGTATAAGATTTTAGCCAAATTTCCAACTGGAAAAACCCCAGTACTTACTCACTTTGAGGGCACGTATATACCCCTTACTTGAGGGCATGTGGTAAATACAGTAAGTAGTATTACTGTAAGCTAAGAAAATGATTTGTGAAGAGTGATAGTGATATTTTTGAAGAGATAGTTGTGGTCTTTTCTTGGCAAAGTTTGGACGAGGATTTTGGACAGGCTTTGGAACTCTGTAAGAGGATTTTGATTCAAAAAACTGAAAAAATTTGCACATACTTTTTCATGAATCAGACTAGAAAATGTAATGCTTCTATAAAAGTTACTGAAAGCCCTTTTTGTAATCCAGTCAATATCATCCTCTGCCCTGAGAAGTGTTTTTAAATTATAGATACTTGCCAGTATTCTCACCCCAAGACATTCATAACTGCTGGGAATGGTGGAAAGTAGAGGACTTGCTCAAAATATTAAATTTGATAATATATATGACCTCGTATTCTTCCCCCAGTGCATTAAGACCCTCAGCACTTACCACTGCCAAAAAAAAATCGGAGTTCCCGGAAAATGATGTTAAATCCGATAGAAAACAATTCCAGGTGAAAACTATAGAAGGAAACCCACCCAGATTTCATCCTTCATACCTCTGTGATCTCCTCCAGAGAAGTACGAAATACAGTACGTCTGTTGGAATCATCAGCTCTCATCGATTATCCCAGGCCCGCCTGCTGCCAATCAACCCGTCAATTTTCAGCAACAGCACCTGCAGCAGTCATTCCGTGCTAAATTATCCTCAGGAAATCAGCGTTTAAATTGCCCAAATTTGTCCCTTTTACTCGTACATGGATGGGATGTCTTTGCGCCAAAGACAAGGACGTGGAAGAGAGTTCAGTGCCTCAGCAGGTTCCAGCTCGGGACCTGGATTTTCTCATGAGAGCCACCAGCTTTCCAGAGGAGACCATCGTGGAGTGGTACAACTTTTTCATACTCCAATGTCCATCCGGTCAGATGAACAAGGAGCAATTCGTCATCATTTACGAGCTCTTGTTTCCGAAGTCGAATGCCAAGGACTTTTGCAATCATTGCTTCAAGACGTTTGACCGAGACAACTCGGGTTATATCGACTACAGTGAATTTCTGCAGGTGATTTTTGGAATAACTTTTTCTGGTTGATTTTAAACTTTCCTGAGTCTTATCCGTTTTTTCTTTCAACAAAAGTTCTTGGAGTAGCAATGAAAATGGCCAACAGTTGAGCTGAAAAACTTTTTCCTTTAGGGAAAAAATTTTCTTTGGCACACAAAGAAATATCAGCCCTGTTTGACAATTTAAAAAAAATTGTTTTTCATAATTCACCCTGGCAGAGTTTTGCTCTCCACTCAAAAGATGAGGCGTCCTTTTTTGTTGTAGCCCAGCTTTCCCCCTGGAATTTTTGAAATCAATTTTTGAAACCCTTGAAAGAATGCCAAGGGTTTCAGAAATTCTTTTTTGTTGTAGCCCAGCTTTCCCCTCAGAATTTTTGAAATCAATTTTTGAAACCCTTGAAATAATGCCAAGTTGTAGCCCAGCTTTCTCCTCAGAATTTTTGAAATCAGTTTTTGAAACCCTTGAAAGAATGCCAAGTTGATTTCAAAAATTCTGAGGGGAAAGCTGGGCTACAAAAAAAAAAGGACGCCTCATGTTTTGAGTGGAGAGCAAAACTCTGCCAGCGTGAATTTTGCAAAACATTCCAAATAATTGTCAAACAGGGCTGATATTTTTTGTGTGCCAAAGAATATGTTTTCCCTAAAGAATAAATTTTTTTCAGCTCAACTGTAAGCCATTTTCATTGCTACTCCAAGAACTTTTGTTAGAACCCTTGTACTCTAAACTATTTTTCTGGTCGCTTTTTCTGGAAAATTTTTTTAAAATACAGCATTCTTTCATGATTTCGGAACGAAGTTCAAGGGACCAGGAAAACATTTTTTATATAATTTTGTCACAGATTGGGATGACTGAACCCCATGGGACCAAAAAGAAAAATAAAATCTTTAAACTGGGAAAATTGTTCTAATGAGATAGTCCACCTGTATAGACAGGAAACAGATTATTCATCAATGAAAGAACATACTGTAAAATGCTTCGTGATCCTGCAATTCATGCCATTGTACACTTGTCAAATTGTCTTCGATTCTGCCGATAACAGGCCCTGAACCTCTACACCTCGCAGTCTGTGGATGACAAGCTGGCCTGGACATTTCAGTTCTACGACGTGGATGGCAATGGGAGAATTGAGCGGGAAGAGCTGGAAATGGCCATTGAAATGATGATGACCATGCGAGGTGAGACTGGAGAAGCTGGAGAAACGGCGCAGCAAATCGCTGATCGGATTTTCCGCAATATGGACGTCAACAATGACGGGTACCTGAGTGAAGAGGAATTCATGCAGGGTTGCATGACTGATAAAAAGCTCTTTCAGCTCCTGGTGCGATGACAAAGTCGATCCCATAAAACCCTCCCCACCCTTCCAAGATGAATGTTCCAGTTTTCCTGTACTTTTCTTGCATGCTTTATTTGTGAATGTATTTTGTTCTTTCGCAAATAAACTGATTGTCTTCAATTTTATCCTCAGCAGACCCATGACACAATTTGGATCTTCAACGTCTGCAGTGGGAGGAATGACCAGTAGGATCCTACAGGGGTCTGGGGGGGGGGGGGATAGTAAGGATGTCAAGTACTGTGTGTCTGTGGCTTTTTGCACCTTGAATTAATTTGCCCAATTTCTTTTTTTTGTCCGCACTGCGTACACTCTACTACTTGTTTTGCTCAGCTTAATTTATAGGTGGAATCAGGGACCCCTAGAGGTCCCCCAATACAAACACTACATCTACATTCCACAAACACTATAGTAAGGATAGTAAGGATGTCGTGTACTGTGTGTCTGTGGCTTTTTGCACCTTGAATTAATTTGCCTACTTGAAAACGCATCAATTAACATTAAGTTGTCAGGATGGCCAAGTGGTCTAAGGTGCTGCGTTCAGGTCACAGTCTGGTTCTGCAGGCTTGGGTTTGAATCCCACTTCTGCAATTGTTTTTTCATTTTTTCTTTTTTTTGTCCGCACTGCGTACACTCTACTACTTGTTTTGCTCAGCTTAATTTATAGGTGGAATCAGGGACCCCTAGAGGTCCCCCAATACAAACACTACATCTACATTCCACAAACACTATGAACATCTAAATCGAACATTACTGCCTCAAAACACAAACCAACTGTTGGGGAACCAAAACTCAGGCTCAGGGACGTCAGGTCCCAGGACCTGAATTCTGGTCCTGTTTTCCTTTGTGCATCCCTTTCTGGAGGCAACTTCTTCAATACACATTTTGTCCGCCAATCACAGGCGAGAAAAAATGTCCAATGCTTTGGTCAGGTCAGCTGACTGAAGCATTGTGCTTAATCAAATAAAAACCCAGCACTCTTCCACTCCCAATAATCAGTCCTTAAAATTAGCTCTTACAGTAAATTTCCCTCAAAACATTCCAGCCCCAATTCTTCTGATTGAATTGTTGCTTTTCATTATTGCACCCTAAATTTGTGTGCACAAATTTATTGTCTTCATTGAATGTGTGTTGCATTATTGCATTTATTGTGATGCATTATTTTACCACGTTTTTATGAACTCACTTTCTTGTCTGTCTGTCTGTCTGTTTGTCCGGATCAAATTTTGAAACTCAAATTTCACTCACTTCCCAACTAGCTATCAAGCTGAAACTTTCAGGATAGCTTAGAAACTGATGACAATGCAATCTTTTGTGAAAAAATTAATTTTAAGAATATTTTTTAAAAAGAATAAAATAATTATAGTAGATTTCTATAATAAAACTTTGAGCAGGTTTTCCTTGGCCCCAAGAAAAAAACCCATGGTGAACTGAATTGGTCGCAGAGGTCNGGAGATTGTTGGGAAGAAGTGAAATACAAATGAAATAGATGCGCACCAGGTTTAAGGTTATTTTTTGCTTTTTGAAAACATGGTTTTTTCGATTAATTTTTTAATCTACTAAATTTTTTTGCATTGTGTTTGATTCTGATTCATTGTGCACTGTCATTAAACCAGGCAAAACTAGGGATATGTAATTAAGGTACCCTCTTAATTGCATATTCCCAGCTGCAAACTGGCTGATTGCCCTGCCTTATTATTTCCCACCTTTTCTTCCACTGCGCTATGGTTCAATCCTTCATGTTGGGTCAATTAATTCCTCAACACTGACTGACCGTGAAAACCAGTATCAAAAACTGGATTCCTCTTCCTGGCACACAAGACAAAAACCACCAAAGGAACTTCACTATGTTTGAGAACTTCACAGCAAGTACTCCTTGAATGTGAATTCCAAAATCTGAAAAGGTGAAAAACCATTCATTGTCATCTCTGTGAAAATAGTGTGAGAATTAACAACAGTTCCTGGAGACTTGGTCTTGGCCGCAAATGGCCCATTGTGTATTTCAATTTATTTCACCCTTAACTTCTTTGTCTTAGACCTTAGGGTGTCTGACAGGTGGTACTGTATCTTGCAATTCAACCTCCCCCAATTTGACCATCCCACAATTTGGTCAAGTTTGCAGCCATTTCAGGGAAGGTCGACTCAGTTCCACCTCTGCTGTGCAATTTGGCCTTTAAGAGACACAAAACATCAAATGCCATTTATAAAACATGCCATTTGATTTTGTCTCACATTTGGACTGCTTTTCTATCCTACCCTAGTCCAGCAATGGATTAGTGTCAAATTGCAAGGTACCACCTGTACTACTGTTTAGATGGCATGCCAATTCTCAATGCTTTTTCAATGTAAATAAACTGCTATTTAGGCCATAATTATTACCTTTTACTTTGCATAATAAATAAAATTCCACATAATGAAGTATGTTCACCTCAAAATACTCACACTTGATCATATTCTGAGTCTAAACTTTGGATTTTTGAATTGCGTTCAAGGAACAAATGGTAGTTATTCAAATTCTTGTCAGTTAAAGTTGGGAAATTCAGAATTCTAAGAGCAGAAAGTTGTCATAAGATTCAAAATTACTGTTTGATGTTTTTATTAAAAATTGTATATCCTTGGATTAAAGCTATACAGTGTCTGAAAAATGAAAATTCAAACTCGCCTGATTTAATTTAAAAAAAAAACAGTTTATGCTTTGTGAATTGGTTCTTGGGACGGTATTTTATTCAGCTTTTTTGTCCAAATTCTTATTCTCTCTTGGAATTTTCATAATGATGCAAAATGTATGGGTAAAGCTGCTTCATTAAATTAAAAAAAAGTGTGACAAATGATTTTTTTCTGTTGGCTTGAAACTTGGAGATTCAAGGAAGCGTGCAATCTTAGAGATATAAAGGAAATACTGTACTTCTGAAAAAGGTATGATAAAACTTAGAATTTTGAAAGACTTTTAAATTCCCATAGCAGATTTCAAATTTCTCAGATGAGTGATGTTTAGTTTAAAAACTGAGACCAGTACTTTACCTTCTTGAACCTTAAGATATTCCATCAAGAAGGAGTAATTAATGTAGAATGTTTTCCATATGCTTCTACCCACAAACGTGTATTTGTCACTCAAATACCAAAGAAATCTGCTCTGCGTCACTCGCGTTTGATCATGAACAGTTGAAATGTCAAAAGGTCGAAATAAAGCAGATTTCATATTTTTCATGAAGAGCTTTCAAGGAGCTGTTCAGCTCGAGATTCTCTTGAAATGTGGTGCATAGTATGAAAGGAAATTCACCAAACTTCAAGATTTCTGCGAGACGCGTGATTTTTTATTTTTTTGGCCTGTTGCTGAAAGATTTTTCCTCTGGAAATTCCCGGTGATTTGGTGCGCATGCCCTGGAGCAAGGAACACCTGCTGCTGGGTTCCAGTGCGAGGAAACCGTTTCCTTTCATCATTCGTGATTCGATTTCCTGCCCGGAAACACATTAAAATATATATTTAAAAAAAAAGCTCCGCTGATATTCCAGGAAATCAACATTCTCGGGTGGGAACATCTTGGTGGTGTATCTCTTGAAATCCAATTTTTGCCAAAATAATGCGCTCGAAAACTATTTTTTGCCGAAACAATTCATACTCTTCTGGTCGATTTTTCTGAAGAATGATCGGAAATACGGCATTTTTCTATAATTTTAGAGCAGTTTTAAATCAATCGAGAACGTGTATGCTAATACTCAATTGATTTTCATAAGGTTTAGACTATAGAATAAGATTGTCGCTTATTTGAAGTGATTTTTTTATTCGTATCACACCTACAAAATATGCTTGTCATCTCTCGTTAAAACGCTTTTTGAGGAAGTGAGACAAAAGTTGGAGTCAGTTTGTGTCGTGAAACATTGAAATTGGAAGAAAATGTCGCGAAATTCTTCAAGGATTTTCAAAGTTTCTTATATTTCCAGCTTCTGTGAGTATTATTTTTTTTAACACGATATCAATGTATAGTATCTGTATACTTTAAATATATCTGTTTTCAATAAAATTATTTCACACCGCATTAAACAAATTATTTAAAATGCATGCCTGCATCTCATTCAGCAAAAAAAATATTAAAGTTAGGGAAACAAGCACTTTTGTTGTGCGAAATATGGAACATTTTATGTAGAAATTGTAATTGTTGATATTCTGGGCCTTAAATAGCTTCTTAAATAAGTTGACAGGATGCTGAACTCAGAAGAAAGGTTTAATGTGCACAATTCCTCTTTCACATCCTTTTCAAACACATCAAGTTCCTTTTCTTATTGCTTTTCTTTTTCTTATGTCAAAAAAATCAGCCAAAAAGCCTCAGAAAATTTGAGTTATGGCAGTTTGAGAGGATATAGCCTTTGAGGTGGAGAGGTTTTTAATGCATTAGTTCTAAGGTTATTCATACAGGGATGTTACAAATCTATTTAACCCTTGGGTGGCCCTACCAGGATTTATTTGCACAATTTCATGCCAAGAGCAAAATGAAAAATTAAATGCCTAGCGTTAATGCCATAGTTGGGATAATCCCAATTTTTTTAGAAATCCAGGAGATAAAAGAATCAGTTACTATTTGGGGGGATTTTTGTGCATTCCTGCCATAGATTACCATGGAGGGATTATGAAAACAATGGTTTTCCCATTCTTTGATTTTTCCTGGCTTTGACTACTCAGCCAAATCTGCATTTTGGTGACCTTAGGTCAAACCAAAATGCAGAAACATTCAAAATTTCCCAGCATGGCACCATCATGCAATGGAAAAGTACCCGCCCCCAGCATCCTTAAGGGTTAAGGAGGTTTGAGTTATCAAGGTTCAACTGTACTATGTTCATATACCTTTTCCAAATCACTCTTACGCAGCACTTAACCCTTGTGCAGCAAAGCTGGGATATTTTTGCAAAATTTTGTGCCACTGGGCACTGGGAATTAAAAAAAAATCTACTTTCTTACCAAGGGATAAGTTTGGGGAAAAGTGAGATTTTTTTCTAATCCTGAAGAAAATTTTCAATGAAAATTTTTAAAAATCCCTCGCTGTGTTGCATTTTTTTCCTGCATTCCTGTCATAGGATTTGCATAAGAAAACCTTGCAAACAAAAGAAAATTTGCCTCCTGGATTTTT